TCACCTCCGGGGCAGGCGGGAATCGAACTCATGCAGAGCGGCTTTAGATTCTCAGTGCTGGTGCTTTAACCCGCTGCGCCACCAGGGAGGGCCAGCATGCGGGGATTTCAAATGAATATTGAATCAAGCTTGGTGAGAGCAGTAACTCCAGTTCTGCTTTTGCCCCAGGAAAGTAAGTGCAGATCAAGGCTGAGAAAGCAGGTTAGAGATTCTGCTGCTGCCAGCCTGCCCCAAAGGGTGAGAGGAAGCTTCACAGCAGCAAAGCAGAAATGGAAAGGGCTCCACAGCTCAGCTCAGCCGGGAAGGTCACTGGGCAAGACATTCCAGAAGCTACAGCTTCTGGACAGACCCAAAACGAATGAAGAACCAGGTGTTAAATTGTAAAGGGGTCCCCTGCACCCCGGAGGGCGCCGGCCAGTGCAGCTGCCCAGGGGTGGGTGGGGGGGACTCACGGAGGAATCTGCAATCTCCTTGAGGGTCTGGTCTGATCCAACAGCAAAGATAATTTTGGAGTCCGGGGAGACAGTCACACAGTGATAGCTGCAGGACTTGAGCACACATTCTGTCTCTCTCTTCCCTGTGGACAGATTCCACTCGTACACAGCACCATCCGTGCCGCAGGAGATCAGCTTGCTGTCATCTGTGTTCCATGCAACTGAACGGACCTGCAGAGGGTGAAGGCGCAGCCAGTCACAGGCAGGTGAGTGTGTGCACCTGTGTGCACCTGTGTACACACACACACATGCGCACCATGGAACAGGAGGATGAAGCCCTCATGCCTTCCATGACACAGAAGCAGAATGTCCTTTCCTGATTCAGGCCCTTTTGGAATGCATCTTCTAAACAGCGCAACATTAACCCTGACCCAAGACAGAAACCTCCTGACACACAACATCTGAACCAACACTGAGTAATAAGCTCCTCTGACCAACATGGGACAGCTCATCTCCTAGGGAGCCAGGCATCAAAATAAAGCCAGTTTGCCCTGGCCCCCTGGAAGACAGTGTGGTGCCTATGGCTTGGCCCTCCCAGACCCAGAGAGGGGACAACAGAATGACTGGCTGGACATGGAGCAAAAAAGGGAAGCGCCATGAATTGTGAGAGCCGCCTCTAAGTCACCCACGAAATCCAGGGTGCAGCTGGTAAAAAATCCAACTGACTCCATGGGTTTGACTGAAATGCAGGATGAAGAAGCAGCACAGGCCCTCCCAGGCGTGACTCTGAGAAGCCAGGCTGAAACACAAAAGAACATAAGCCCAGGCATGAGGCAGCACACTGCAGGGGAAAAGGCTTCTCAGCCTTGTCAGCTGCAGCCTTCACTGCCGCCGCCGCCACCGGCAGAGAGTAAGTGTCTAACATTACACTGTGGTGGCTAAAATAGCCAGGCAGCAAACCACGCAGCTCCCTGCCTGCATTTGTTATCCCGCAGCGGTTCTGTCCAGTTAATACCTGCCCTCTCCTTCAGGGCCACACGTCTGCAAACACCCCCACCGACATTTGGCCAGCACCTTTGTTATTTCCTCTCGTAATGTCTTATGTTTTTCTTGGGTTGAATGCATTGCCTTTAGTGACGAAACTGGCTGGTGCACTTGTATTGCTTCTGTCCCCCAGTAGACGTGAATTCTAAGACAGTAATCACTTCACTTTGGTTCACTTGTGTCCTGTTGCCACTGTGCTGGCTCGGTGCTCTATACTTCCCAGGTGTTCACTCACTCACCTTCCCTGTGTGTCCTTTCAGGTTTGAGATATTCTCCAGGCTGGTGGTAGTGAAAATGTGGATCACGTTACCATTGACCGCAGCAAACAGGTGACCTCCATTGCTGAAGGCACACTACGGGAAACAGCAAGAGGGCACAGGGGAGGCAGAAATGAGTGGTAAGCGGGGACTACGGTCCACAGCTCCTCTCCCTAAACTGACGTGGAGCTGGGGCCGGGGAGGTATAAACAGGATCGAGGACTGGCTAATGTCCTGGGACACGTTCCCTGTCCCTGCGGCCTGTACTGGCCAGGGTGCTGACACTGGTCATGGAGCACAGCGCTTATTCTATCTGCAGCCATTTCAGAGTGGGAACTGATGTGTGACGTCCTGTCTTGTTTCTGCAAATCAGCTCAGGTGGAGAGCTGAGGGTCCGTGACGGCTGCTCATGCTTGGCACTTAGGTGCTCTGGCTCTTCCTCACCGCCAGCCTCACCTTCCCAGCGATGTATGACTTTTAACCTGAGATAGCTTTCATTTTAAAAAAAGATTTATTTATGCACACAAGAACTAGGGTGTAGGCCAGAGGTATGGGGGGGTGGGGTGAGAGGATTCACCAGAGACAGAGTGGGGAGCAGAACAGGCAGATGGACAAAGTACACTGCTGAGAGGAGCAGTGGGTGAGACAGGAGAGGTCTGCTGCGCATGTGGGTCAGCTCCCTGGCTGGGGATCGAACTCGTGCTGCAGCCACTGTGACAGCTTCCTAGTGCTGTGCTTTAACCCATTGCGCCACTGAGAGGCCCCTGAGATAACTTTTGTGAGGCTTGTTATTACTTCATAATACCAGAAAGGATCTGTGTGAGGTGGGCTCTCACAAGAGTCTGGGGTCAATTAAATACTGTGGTGAAAGGGGATAGAAAGGGAATAGAGCTGTATACTCAGTACATTTAGTGGGAGAAGAACTGGGTTCCCCTCTGCTTTTTTTTTGAAGTAACTAAAATTTTCTAAGACAGAATTTGGTCTCACTACCTCAGAGTAAGAGAGTTCTTAATACTTCAACCCAGACTTCCTGAGAAGATAGACCTTTACCCTAGCAGTTCTTACCTCTCTGCATCCTCTGACAGAGTATTCTTTGAAGGCACGTATGTCATCAATGAGGAGGTTCATAAGCCGCAGCTTGTCAGCAAACCCTACTACAATGAAGTGGCCAGATGGGTGGAGGCTGATTGTATATGCCTCTTCCTGGTACTCCTTAAACAGTTCCAGAGTACTGTGAAAAAGATTGAGGACTGGCTTGTAAGACTATCTCACTGCATCCCTGGACACTGCTCCCCCCCGCCCGACCCCATCACTTCTGGAACATATTTTAATCATGACATTTGAGATACCAAATTACTCACAATTCCTGACTGTTCTCTTTTCTATATTTCGGTTACCTGAGGATACTGCTTAGCAAAGAGGGGGGACATAGAAGGCTGATAAGAGGTTGTCCAGGGATGTTAAAGGCACAGCCCCACTTAGGTTCTCTAAAGTGGAAGTACTGCACAATTTTATTTCCTGAGGGCCTTAGTGCCTTTACTAATAATGAAAAAATGCTAGAGTCAGGACATGCTAGGCTGGGAGCTCTCAGCTCCCAGGATAATCACTAGAGAGCTGAGGATGGCCGGGGGCAGTGATGAGGAGAAAGAGGAGAAAGAAGTGGTCCAGACAGCAACTTGAGGCTGACGCACTCCTAGTCCTGGGGGGCGAGGGGTCAGGCAGCCGACACACGTGGCCCTCATGTACAGCAGACTATGGCTTGGGGTAAGCATTTAATAAAGCACAAAGTCATTTTCTAGCCCCTGCAAGAGGAACAGAGATGAGAAACAGGTAGGTTGACTGACTTGCTTAAAAAACAAACAAACAAAAAAGGTTTCCAACTGAAAGCTTCGAAGTAATTAAAACTTAAAGCTGTCTAATTAAAATAATCCACATGAACAAACTTAGCAGTGGAGATCCCACACACGGCAGTAGCGAAGCCTTTATTTCTTACTTTGTTTCATAATTCCAGAGGCGAACAGATCGATCCACAGAACAGGTGGCAATGAGGGGCTTGCGAATGCAAGTGGACAGACCCGAGATGGATGCTGAGTGCAACGGGTACATCAGATACTCAAAGTGCGCGGGCTCCCCCTGGTGACACCAGAAAAATGAGATCCGGAGGAGGAGTAAACTAAGTTGGGCTTGCACTTCTTTTCCCGCACAGTAGTGACCTCCAATGACGGAAATCAAACTGTATTACTCCCCTGCACAGTCTCCCTGGGATTTACCAGAATTTATCTTAGCTGTTCCTTACTGTGGGGATGCTTAAGTGCTCTCCGATATTGCTGCTTAAGGGTACCTCGTAACTGAGCCTCACGTGGCCCTGTTTCTCTCTTCCCTGATCCCCACTCTATGCTTCATAATATTATAATAGCCAATAAAGGGTGAGCCTGGAGAACCACAGGCACCCAATCCTCAAGCCCCAGTAACAGTAGAGCTTCAAGTTTGCTTTCTCTCTTGCTGCATGGCCCTTGGGTTGGATTCCTTCAGGGCTGGACTCCCCTAAGCTCCCTGATGGTCTTGACTGAAGTGCATCCTCCAGTCACAGCAAGAACCACAGGGCCCGGCCCGCCACAACACTGGCTGCATGTCAGAGGTTCACAGCTGATGCCTTATGATTGACAGACTGGAACTGACACAACAGGTACATTCTAGAAGTAGGATACAGGGGGCTATAGTATGATTGATTTTAGGATCTTGAGAAATACAGCAAACTTCTCCAAAGAGCCTGTGCACCTCGCCCGCCAGCAGCAGTAGAGTCGGGCGAGCGATTTGAAGCTAAATGGGCCCTATTATGCTGGTTGTGTGGTGAAGGCTCAGCTCATCTGGATTAAGCTGCCCGTCAGTGCCTGGGCTAGCAGGCCTCGACCCCCACACACCTTGCTGATCTCCGTCAGGGACATGGTGATGATGTAGAGCTGGTTCTTGCTGGTGCTGGCAACCAAGGTTTCCTCTGAGGGGCTGAAGCACATACACAGGATGTCCTGTTTGTCGGACTGATTCAGGTCATTGCTCTGTGGGTCCACAGGGATCTGCCCAAGACAAGACAGTGCTCACTGGCGGGGTGTCCCTGGGCTGCCGGGGTCCTCGCAGGGCCTTTCAGTCTACGGAGCCTGGAGCCGCATGCACCCTGCTCAGATGCCACCTCTGTGCCTGCAGGTTTTAGAGTCACCATTTAGTGACTGGTGGCTATTTAATAATGCAGCAGCCCATGTAAAAATGATCAGTCTCTACATCTCGATTTGAGGTCCCCTCTGAAAACAGCTTTGGTCTTAATCCGACTTGTGCTGGCCTGCTGGGAGCCCAGCGTGGGTGCCCACCTGTACCAGGTACACTGGTGTGCCCTTCAGTGCCCTTCCCTTACAGTCTGTGGGATCATGGGCCAATCACATCAATGATAACATCATAACAGCAATTTTTATGGCAACATTAATCTTCAAAGAGAAAATATAACTTGCCAGCATTCTCTTCCCAGATTCCAATCTAGATCTTCCAAGCTCTGAACCCCAAATCTGTCCAACCCATCCCAAGACTCCCGCTGGCCCCTCTTTCTGCTTAGCACTACCGCCCTTTCACATCATCCCAGCGAACTCCTGTCAGGGTCCTGCTGCTAGAGGACAAACACCAGAGGGACACAGTTTTGCTTCTTCGTCCTCTCTTTTACCCGGATCTCCCTGCTTTCTCGGTAAAAATCCTTGTCGTCCATCTTCTCGAACAGCAGGACTCGCCCTGGCCCCGCAGAGCAGGCAAACCCCTTGGAGTAGGCGGCAATGGCAAACACCTTTGGCATGGTCAGGTGGGTGTGGCTCTCGCTGGTGGCCACCACCTGCTCATAGGAAGGGATCGGGGAGCTGACTGTGGGGAATTCGATCAGGCTAGAAAAAGAAAACAGCACATAGGGTTTATACAGACAATCCCAAGGTGAATTCCTGAGCTATCTGTGGTGTCATCTAACAGCATAACAAGTATACATATACATATATATATATATATATGTATATATATATAAAGATTTATTTATTTATTCATACAGAACTGGGGTACAAGCCAGAGATGCAGGGCTGAGACAGAAGGGCTGACTGTGGGTGTGGTAGAAACCCCCCAGTGAGCCCCTGACCCACAGTCAAAATGTCACCTTTTGGTCTGAGAATGACCTACACAGTGTCAAGACAGACTGGATGGTCACACAGTCCCTAGGTGCGGTCACCATTATTATCGTATCAGCATCATCTTCATCCTTACATAGCTGAGAACAAAGTGGCTCAGAGGGGTTGAATTTTCTGAGCTCACACAACTAGTAAATGGAAGAGCCGAGACTTGAGTCCAGGTTCCCATTTCCCCTCCGTTTCCCTCCTCCTTCCTTCCACATAATGACTGTTTATCCGAGTTACACTGTGTCAACAACTCAATGAAACGCTGTAAGGTCGACACGATTCCTGTCCTCAGAGCGTGGCTGAAGATCTGTGATGGGACTGTCAGGACAGAAGGGAGGAGGAGCTGGTCAGCAGGTGAGGAGGACCTTCTGAGGACAGGTGGGGAGGAGGCGTGTACCAGAGCTGGGCAGAGGCCGAGAGCGCCCAGCTGAGAACTGAAGGACGTGCAGGTCAGATACAGTGTCCAGGAAAGTGGGACAGGAGTGGGGGGCTGGGAAACTACACATGGCTGAGCCCAGAAGCAAGAGCGTGCCGTTGGCACGTGCAACCGATGACAGGCCTAGGAGCAGGCAGTCCCTTGCAGCTCAGAGCATCAGGGTGCACGGGCCAAGTTCAGGGGTTTGAGCTTGATTCTTGTTGCCCTGGGCCCACTGAAGGAAGGGGAACAAAGCAAGCTGGAAGGCAAAGGCAGTTACGCATGACCAAAAAAGGGTCTGTCATGGCTGGGGGATGGTGAAAGGGGTAAACCAAAGATTACTGAAGAAGAAGAGGCTGCAGTCCCTTGCTGTGTACCGCCAACAGTGCTATGATCTTGGGGGAGCCATTTAAGCTCCCCGAGCCTCAGTGTCCTTGTCTATAAAGTGGACATACTTATAATATGGACTATATGGGGGTGGGGAGACAGAGAGAGGAGACGGAGACACAAAGTGCTTCACGCAGTGTCTAATGCCCACAGCGGTGCATTCCAGTCTGTGAGAAACGACCATTATCAGCTGTAGTAAGGGCAAGCCTGACCGCTCCCTGCTGAGACCCCAAGTCACCACACACGCTCTGTGGCAGTTGTGATAACACTTGCCTGTGTTTCTCTGTCAGCCTGTGGCCTCCTACGGAGTTGGGTCCCTCAGCCTCTTGCTCACGGCAAGGGGTCAGTGCACCTACACTTCCTTGGTTCAGCCAATTAGGCAGCTACTAGAAAGCCTGTCGTTTTGAAGACTAATCATACTAAGATGTTTGTAAAATTAACTTAGGTATGAAAATAAAAAAATCTATCTAAGCTGTATCACGACTGTCAAATTTGTGCTTGCCTACAGACGGGCACTAGAGAGGCAGAGGAAAGTGGAAAGAGCTGACTTTGGGGGCTCACTTGTGAGGTGTGGGAAGAAGTGGCTCACCTAAACAATCTGTGGTGTCAGCATAACAAGTATATATATATATATTTAAAGATTTATTTATTTATACATACAGAACTGGGGTACATGCCAGAGATGCAGGGGCGGTAAGAGATTCACTAGAGACAGAGTGGGGCGCAGAACAGGCAGAGTGACGAAGTCCACTGCTGAGGGGAGCAGCTAGTGGGTCAGGAGAGGTCTGCCGCGCCATGTGGGTCAGCTCCCCGAAGGGGGATTGAACTCTCACTGAAGCAGCTGCACTAGCTTGCAGTGCTGCGTCCTAACCCGCTGCACCACCAGGGAGGGCCACGAGTATATTTTTGCAGGTGCACTACCCCCGAGGGCCGCCGTTACCTCTCTGATTCCTGGATTATGTTCAGGTTCTTCAGCTCGCTGGTGGACTCCTTGACCATTATATTCGTCTCCCAGCGCTGATCTCCAGATTCAAAGAGGAAGAGCCTGCCTGTGTCAGTGCCAACAATAATCTTGTCATCAGACACCCAGGAATGGGCTAAATAGTTTTGAGGTTCGCCCCTCTGAAAATTGGTTTGTTTTAGGGTTCCCTCAGTAAAGCGCAGCAGCTTAAATATTCCATTTCCGGTGACGCACACCTGAGTGTTATCCTGGGGGTTAAAGCTCACCTGTAAAATGTGCAAGAATAAAAGGAAAAGTTTGAGAACCAGGGGATTATTTCCCATTTCACTCATTAATATTTATCTCAGGCAGCTCAGAGTATCCTTCAAACATCACAAGATCATATAATATCGATGACCCTGTTTGATAACAGCACCGATCTCTCTGTTACATGTGTAGAGCCCATGAATCTTAAACTAGGAAATCTATAGGAGTCATTTCACAAAGACCAAAGAGCAGGATCAGCAGGTCTCGACAAAAGCCAAATTTTGTGCCAACAGAATGGAATGATGGCTCAACCGCAACCAGAAAAAACAAGGGTCTGCAGGTTTCTGTGCAACATCCAGTGGAAGGGAAAAGCATGCCAGGGGCTGCCAGCTTGTCTCCTACAGAGTTGCCCACACCTGTAACTCATCCCTCATATACAGCAGTGGCCAGTCAAGTAGTTGCTCTGGGGGGCTCTGGCCTTTTCAGCTCTGTATCTCCACGCCTGATTCAGAGAAGGCAGCCAATATATGTGCAAATGTGCACAACTCTATTTGACAGGAGGTGTCCCCGATATTATATGATCATCAATATTATATGATCTTCTCTGAATAGGGACGCTTCTTTATCAGGCCTCGGTGGCCTGGATAAGTAACCTTCTGACCCTACCTGCCTTTAGTTTTGATTCTGTGATCACCAAGCAGTTTTCACTCTCCACATTCTCTACTACCAGAGAGGAACGACACTGGATAAATGATGTATGTTGTGCTTGGGACATGTTGCCTGGTACACCAGCCTCCTGTGAGCAGAACTGGGTCTAGCTTGAGACACCAACCACTTAGTATTTCTGAACATGAACAGAAATGAGTTCCTGAGCTTGCAAAACCAGGTACTAAATTGCAGACTGTGGTGCCCGCATCAAGCTAAGATCGCTTTGGGGGCCTTTCCATTTGCCCTCAATCCACAGCAGAAAACTGAGTTCCCTGTATCACTGCAGTCACATGGAGAACAAAGCTCTACCCCTTTACATCATACTCCCCAAACCTCCCCAGTACCCAGTGACACTGCTGGCAACAGGCCAGGTAAGGGACAGCGAGGGATCAATCGACCTTAGCTCCTGACCTGGGACCAGAGAGCAGTTTTGGGCCAGAATGAAGACGACAGACAACGGGTGACTCTGCTCTTCTCTACCTCTGTGATCTTGGGTGTTTAATTAGCTTCTTGGGGCCTCAGTTCCCTCATCTGTACCACAGGGTTCACAGTGAAGAATGCCACATACAGCAGTTATGAGGTTAACTTTGAAACGCACGTTCAGAAACAGCACTATTCCAGGTGCTAGGAAGCACTCATAAAAGCAGCTCTTGCTATTTTTACAATTTTCCACAATTTTTCTGATGATGGTACCTGGTAGATAGCATTGTTCTGAACATCAGTTCTAACCATGGCCATGACTTTCTGTTTTTCCCACAGCCAATAGATAAGGTTTGATTCTGGAGGCGAAGTCTGAGCCAACAGGTATTTGGAATCTGGAGAAAAAGCCATGCTAATAAATTTCTGAACAGGGAAGTCAAAATTATTGAGGATTTTGCGTTTCCGGCAAGGAATGGATGACAGTTCATAAATGGTGATGACGGGCTTATCTTGCACAGTCTCGGAGATAGCGAGGTATCGCCGGTTGGGACTGATGGACAGGGCCAACATGCCCTGACTCTTGTCTGAGCCTGCAAACAGAGGGAAAAGGGGATAATGAGGGTAGATCCTGCTTTCACCAAGACTTAATAGGAACAAGGCCTGGGCAGGCATTGCTGATACAACAGGAGAAACGTGCAGAAACAGGTAGTTGGTCATCTCTGTGGTCCCAGGTACGACTATGCCTGGAGTATTATGGAAATGCCTGTGATAAGCATCTCACTGAGGCCCATATGGGAGAAGTCTGGGAATAGCTCCGGAAGGAGGACAAGGTGGAACATGGCAGGTGGCAGGAAGAGCACAGAAAAGGGTGAGTTCTGGGAGAACTGTTAACAGTGGGCTGTAGCGGGAGCCCCACATGGAGTGACTGGAGATGGGTTTAAACGGCGGAAGAGAGTCAGGTCATTGAGGCTGGAAGTCCCTAGGGGCCAGCACTCAATGCCCCTCCTCTACTTTTAAGGCCAAGATGCTGACTGCCTGGTTCCTCAGCCTCCCCCATCTGAAATTGTGCCATGCGATAGAAGCAGAAGCCTGCTGGGTGGGATTTATGGTAAAACTCGTGCTCCCCTGAAAACCAGGGATAGAAGCATTCTACCTCCCTTTTCCTGGAATACAAGGGTGATATCTGGAGACACAGCAGTCATCTTGCAACCCTGAGGTAACAAGACCTGAAGGCAACCTTGGGCCTCTATGAGCCTGAGGCAATGAACGAAGCACAGATATTCTATGTGGGAAGGGCAATGAGGGGCGCATGGGGATTTTCATGGCCCCCTTTCTCCATTCAAAATGTTAAAATTGTATTTTATGACTGCATTGGTATAAAAAGTAAAAAATATAATCCCGGTTAGTCCATTATTATAGATTCAGTTTTATTAGTCACTTTTCTCAATTTAAAAATAAAGATTAAAATACTTTCTTGGGCTCTCCCTGGTGGCGCAACGAGTTAAAGCACTGCATTATAAAGCTCTCTGAAGCCACTGCAGCACAAGTTCGATCCCCTGCCAGGGAGGTGACCCACATGGCATGGCAGACCTCTCCTGACCTGCCCACTGCTCCCCTCAGCAGTGTACTTCAGTACATCTGCCTGTTCTGCTCCTAGCTCTGTCTCTGGCGAATCTTCTCACCCACCACACCTCTGGTCTGTACCTCAGTTCTATAAGCACAAAGTAAATAAATCTTTAAAATATTTTCTTCAGTCCCTAAAAGTATGGTGGGTCCCAGAGTCTGTGTGAACTGTGCCTCATGATACGTGGGGCTGGTACAAGCTCAGGCAGGGAGGCAGGGAGTGGGGAAAGATGTACCGGAAGGGAAGGCCACGGTGTCCAGGCTGCCGCTTCCCCACAAGGGAAGATGCCGCACTTTGCCGCACAGGCAGGACACCAGCACCTGCGACTTAGAACAAGGACTCTGGGGTAACTGTGCCTCAGAAGAGAAGCCAGCTTTGGGCTCACTGAGAGCCTCACATGTGAGTTTGGACTTTCCCAGGAAGCAAGTGGAAAGCCACTTAGAGAGCAGAGAAAGGTCGCATATGTGTTATAAAGATGCTTCTGGAAGACTACTCTGGAGGGAAGGGAACTTGCTAGTGGATCATTTTAAAAAGTAAGATTACTTTTAAAAGTAAGATGGTGGCAACGAGCAAAAAGAAGGCAGTAGGGGCAATGGGGAGAGAGAAGAAGGTGATTAGAGAAATTCTGGGGGGGCTCAGCAGTTGTCTGGGTGAGACGGCGAAGGACAGAAACAAGCAGGAGAGACGCTCACGCTTCTGTGTCTGGTGTCACCTGGGATGGAACTGAGGCGGAGGCAGTGAGGGTCACCGTGACGGTGAGGAGGGCCACTGTTTTCCACCGAAAATAGCCTATAGAGAAATTTCATTTTTATTCATGCTGATTTGCCTTAAGGCTTTATGATTTCAGTTTTTCACACTTTAGTCATTAATCTATCTTGGGTTCATGATGGTGAAGGGCTTAAGTGAGGATTCAACTTGATTCCCATTTCCCAAATACCTGGGTAGTTGCTCCAGTAACTTATGCCCCACTTAAGACATATTAATTTCACCTACACACACAGTACTGGGTTGCTGGGATATTTATACTAGGACTATATTACTTTCTTAAAAAAAGATTTATTTATTTATGCATACAGACTGGGATATAGGCCAGAGGTGCAAAGGCAGTGAGAGGTTTCACCAGAGACAGAGTGGGGAGCAGAACAGGCAGATAAACGAAGTACACTGCTGAGGGGAGCAGCGGGCGGGTCAGGAGAGGTCTGCCATGCCATGTGGTCACCTCCAGGGCAGCAACTGAACTCATGCTGAAGTGACTTTAGCTTCTTAGTGCTGTGCTTTAACCTGCTGCACCACCAGGGAGGGCCCTACTATATTACTTTTATAGTCATATCTTTAGATGCATCAACATACCTGGCAAAGGCACAACAAAAGAAAGTATCATTAAAACAAAAATAGGAGAAAAAATTTGTACATCATATAGGAGCTAAGATCTGCAAAGACTCAAACGACAACAAAAAACAATCAAAAAGTGGGCAGAAGAGCTAAGTAGATACTTCTCCAAAGGAGACATCTAATCATTGACACGCTAATCATTGTCATTATTATTAGGGGAATGCAAATCAAAACCACAATGAAATACCACCTCACTACTGTGAACTGGCCCACATCAAAAGGCCAGACACAGTAAGTGGTGGGCATGGTGTGGAGAAACAGGACCTGTCTTACACTGTTGGTGGGAATGCAGACTGATCTAGTCCCTATAGGAAACATTATGGAAGCTTCTCAAGATATTAAAAATTGATCTACCGTATGTCCTGTAATTCCTCTTGTAGGCATCTATTCAAAGAACGCAAAGTAGGAATTTGAGGGAAATATACAGTTCTATGTTCACTGTGGCACTATTTACAATAGCCAAGTCATAGAAACCATCAAAGTGCCCAATGAGAGAAGAGTAGAAAAATAAGATGTGGTATTTATACACAACTGAATATTATCCAGTCATTAAAAAAGATGAAATATTGCCCTTTGGGACAACATGGAGGGAACTGGAGAGGGTTATGCTAAGCAAAGTAAAGCCCAAGGAGAAAGACAAAAACTCAGATGATTTCACGCAAGCATGAACTACATAGGACAAAACCAAACCAAAACAATGGTTAGAACTCTGACTAGAGCTGAGGCTATGAGAGGCAGAGAGAGGAGCAAAATGGAGAGGAGGCCTAGTGGACTAGGAAGGAAGATGATGGGTGGCTTGGTGGTGGGAATGGTGTGGTACCATGTTTTTTAAAAGGTGTTCTCCGGTTCTTGTATGCATAAATAAATAAATCTTTAAAAAAAGAAAAAGGTGTGAATGTGTATGCCTCTGAATCACATTGAGTATGACAAACCAATGTTATTGTAATAAAAATATTTTTTAAAGTAGAAAATAAAATAGCTGACAAAATAGGGTCTTAAGAAAAGAGAACGGATAAATATATTTGAGACATTAGTTCACAGAGTGGAATACTATCGTGATAAAAAGAACTCAGTTAATAATGTGTCAAAATGCATGAATCTCTCAAACGTGATGTTGAACATAAGCAAATTCCAGAATATATACAGTGTGATTACATTTCTATAAGGTCGGTAAATAGCAAAAACAAAACTACATTTTATACTAGGTCACACATATAGGCGGTAAAACTCTATGGAGAAGTAAGAGAATCCTTACAAAGTCTAGGACAGAGAATGAGCCTGCAAGCGTGGGTGAGGAATGCAAGCAGGCAGCAACACTGCAGTGGGAATAACTCTATTTCCTGTCTCAGGCAGTGGGCCACAGAACTGTATTTTGTTATCTTTGAAATACTACAGATAGGCAGTGTACACTCTTCTGTATGTATATGTAAATACACAACATGTTGAATACACCAGAGTGGTTAAAGATCATACCCTGTGACTCGGGAAAAAATCATCAGTGTGTTTATCACACTTGGATTCAAAATGCACTGAACGAAGGTGGCATACTCTGGAAAATGGTGTTAGACAACTCAAAAGGTGACCACAAACACAATGATATTGAAGGTGCATGAATAGAGACTCTTTAATTTTTTCCCAATAAATTACAGTGAAAAAGTGGACATTTTTACATGAGATTTTTATCTGTTCATGTGTGATTAATGTGCGTGTTAATGCAAAGCAGACATTTCTGTAGTGATAAAACACTGTATATTCAAGTTGGTTCAAAACATCTCATTTTACTGTCACGCTGGGATTATGGGGTTATAGCTGGCATTTATACTCTTCAGACACGGACCCTGGAAGTACAGGCTTGTATTTGGCATTTAAGGTGAATGCATGTATCATGATGGAAAAGGTTTTACCTGGAATGAATTTTTGCCATTTCTGATCCACATTGTACTTCACACAGTGATTTCCTGAAGGGAATATAATGATCTGTTCATCGAAGAAGAAGACATTGTTGGCCACATGGGCTCGAAAACCAAAAACATGCAGCGACTGAGCTACTACGGTGGACATTGTGTCCCACTGAGGAGTTCTGTTAAAGAGCAAGCGCAGAGATGAGAGTGGGGAGGAGCCCCTCCCCGCTCCGGCCCGGCCCGGCCCGCCCCGCCCCCG